GAGCTGATTTTATTTTGAAGACACAGGCCATTATTCTGGCCTAATGTTCTTTTCTGTGGCTGCTTTACTGCTGCTGTGGTGCCCTGTCCTGTAAACATCGTTATTTCATTTCACAGATTGGAAAGCAGTGGCTGTTCTCCCATTCCTGCAGTGGGAAGGGAGCTGCAGTGGATCTTTAAGGCTGCAGAGCTGCACTTTGTGGGCCTTGCCAGGAGCAGTGAGAACTGAGGCTTTAGAGCCCTTTGCCAGAGCTGCTTCCTGGCAGCTTTTTCTGTTTGATCAGCAGTAAAGCCACACTGTTAAAGTATCTTACTGTGAGGATATAGGGCACATTAGAATGTGTAAAGTACTGGTATTTCAGTAAACTAGATCTTCAAGTATGAGAAATGTTCATGTCTTGCCAATAATATTACTAATTCCAAAATAATACAGAGTTCTCTTTGCATAGGTGCGTTAACCTTGATAAACTTAAAAGGTCTGTTTCATGTCTTTACTTAAGAAAAAAATCCATATTTGATAGGCATTTGGAAAACAACTTAAAATGTCAAGCTTGCATTGTATAGCTTACTTAATGTGATATATTTATAACTTATTTCCCTTAAGTTATCCAGTACTTGATGGCTTCCCTAATTATTTTGATAGGTTGTTACAGAACCACCTAATGGTCTGAAACTGAATATGAGAGCCACCTACTTCAAAATTCCCCAGGAAGCCTTAGAGCAGTGCCCACATCCTGCCTTTAAATCCTTAGTCTACGTCTTGGCATTTTTCCATGCTGTGGTTCAGGAGAGAAGGAAGTTTGGGAAGGTTGGCTGGAATGTACCATATGATTTTAATGAATCTGATTTCCAGGTAAGAAAACAATTGCTATGGCTGTTATATTCCTGAGTAGCTGAGATTATTTTTGAAAACACAGAATTCCTCCAGCTTTAACCTTTCTCAGAATTAGATTTTACATAGTATTTTTTTTCTGCTTCTGAGGAGTCATGTACATTCCTGATCTTCTATAATGTCAATTTAGGATGCTAAAAATTAGATTCCCAATATTTTACGTTTTTATTGCCTCTCTCATGGGTTTCTTTTCTTAAGGATTTATACTTTTTTTTTATTTCAGAAAGAAGTAATTGTTAGTTTTCAAACAAGAACTACATTAAATAAAAACTATGAATATGTATATTCTGATTTATGAATCTTATCTCACATGTTCCAACAAATTCATTAGGTGTGCATGGAAATCCTTAACACATACTTGACAAAAGCTTTTGAACAAAAGGATGATCAAATCCCTTGGAGCAGTCTCAAATATCTTATTGGGGAGGTGAGTGCTACAATGTCACAGCAGTTCAGATAAATGAAGTTTCCTTTCTGCATGGGCTGCATCAAGTAAAGCTGGGAATCTTTCCTGGGCAGGTTTGAAACTCCAGGGTAGCCCTGAGCAAGGGCCTTAATCTCAGTCTCAGGGAATTAGGGCCACTTGTGTGCTTAATTAATTATTAAAAAACCACTGGGGACCCTGTGTGGAGGGGCACAGGGCTCTTGGCACGCGGTGTATCAGTGGAGTTGTACAAATGTGTGTTCTTAGAGCTGCTGCAGCTGCCCTGCACTGCTGCAGGAGCTGCAACATGAATTCCTGCAGAAAACTCTTCCTTTGGAGCACTGGATCCCAGCTGAGCATGAGCTGGTACCTCAGGAAGGCCCCACTGCACACAGATCATCCAGATGGGTGATGAGGAGTGCCCAGAGCAGCTCTCCAGACCAGTGCCAAATATTTCTTTCCTGTCCGCCTGAGAGGGGACTGAAGATGTCCCTAAGGGAGACCACAGGCACTGCAAAAGCAAAGAGCATTTCTGACCTTTCTGAGATTTTTTTGAAGTGCATTTTCTGCTCCAAAAGCCAGTGATGTAACATTGGTGTCACTGATTTCCAGGTCATGTATGGTGGGCGTGCAATCGACAGCTTTGACCGGCGCATCCTGACTGTCTACATGGATGAGTACCTCGGGGATTTCCTGTTTGACACATTCCAAGTGTTCCATTTTTACAAAAGTGACACAGTCGATTATAAAATTCCAGCAGGGAAGGGAAAAGATGACTTTGTTGGTAAGAAATGCCTCTCCTGACACATTAAAGAAAAAATCTGCTTCCACTGTAGATTGTCTGTATACATTGCTGCTGGGTGTGAGAAGTTGAGCAGAACACCGGGCACTGCTGGTGTGTGGATTACAGGAGCAGTCCTTTGGAATGTGAGCTTGCCACTGAACTCCTTGGGTGTTTAAAAAAACCCAGAAAATAACCCAAACCACAAAACCTCAGTAACGCAGCATGTTAATTTTGTTAATGATATATAATATTTCTGTGGGGGAGTCTCTGTGGTTAGAAGTATTTATTCTGTGCATTACTCCAACACCAGGTTTAGCATTTGATTTTTTTTATTCAAGCAGAGCAATAGCAAAATTGCTGTGGTGTTCTGGGTTACCAGAGCCTGTGTGTGGTTGTATTCCAGAGGCCATAGAAGCTCTGCCACTGTCCAACAGCCCTGAGGTCCTGGGCCTCCACGCCAACGCCGAGATCGGGTATTACATGCACGCAGTGCGGGACATGTGGGGTCACCTGCTCGAGCTGCAGCCCCAAACCGGTGAGTGCTCTGAGCTGGGCTGGTGAACAGGAAATCTCAGACTGAGTGGCAAGTGCTGAGCCCTGGGGTAGGGACAGCAGCCCCTGTGTGTGAGGAGTGAGGTGGGGGCTGTGTGCGGCCTCGGGGAGCAGAGGGAGCGGGACAGCCGGAGCAAGGCTGCTGCCAGCTCAGCACCTGCAGGGCTGTGGGCAAAGGTCAGGGCTGAACAGGAGGGGAGACTGATGCCAAAAGGTGACTCAGCTCAGAAGATTTAGTATAGATTTTGTGTTACCAGAATTTTTTTGGTTTCAGGTGAAACTGGTGCAGGAATTAGCCGAGATGAATATATTGCAAATGTTGCCAAGGATATAGAAAACAAATTACCTCAAGTATTTGATCTTGACCACATACGTAAAGGTTATGGAGTAAACATCTCCCCTACGACTGTGGTGCTGTTGCAGGAACTGGAACGTTTTAATAAGCTCATTGTTCGGATGGGGAAGTCCTTGGCTGAGCTACAACGTGTAAGTAAAATCCCAGCAACTGGATGGGAGCAGCTGGGCTTTGCCTGCTTTCAGAACTCTCACCATTGTTCCAGGCCTTGGCTGGGGAGGTTGGAATGAGCAGTGAACTGGATGACGTGGCTCAGGCCCTCTTCAATGGGCAGATTCCTGGCATCTGGCGGCGGCTGGCTCCAGACACCCTCAAAACACTTGGAAATTGGATTATTTTCTTTAGAGCTCGATATGAGCAGTACACCGCCTGGGTAAGCAAGTGCCTGCAGACAGGCTTTTGTTTTGTTAACCTGCACCATGTGCTGTGCAGGCTGGGGCAAAGCCAGTGAACACTTCAGGTAAGTCCTTGAAGTGGTACTAGCATTCCATAACTGTGGATGCAAGGCAGCCTCAGCCCAGCTCGTCTGCAAGGGCAGAGTGGGCTGAGCGCCAGGTACTGCCCATCCCTGTCTGTGGTTGCAGGTCAGCGAGGGAGAGCCTGAGGTGATGTGGCTGTCAGGCCTGCACATTCCCGAGTCCTACCTGACGGCTCTCGTTCAAGCCACCTGCAGGAAAAACAGGTGGCCCCTGGATCACTCCACCCTCTACACAGAGGTAACCAAGTACAGGAAAGCAGAAGACATCACAGAAGGGGCTGCTCAGGGTAAGTGTTTTCAGAAATATTAGGCAAAAGCAAAGAAGCAAGTCATTGGTGAGAGAAAGGAAAAGGTTGGTGAAGTATCAGAGAATAGTGGTGGGTTGGGACTTCACAGTCGTAAGAAAATCCTTCAGAGGTCGTGTGGAGCATGAAGAATGGTCTGGGCAATCCTGTCCGTCCATCCATCCATCCATCCATCCATCCATCCATCCATCCATCCATCCATCATCATCCAGGCTGTCCCTACCTTTCCCAGGCTGCTACGTGTGTGGATTGTTCCTGGAAGGAGCAGACTGGGACATAGACCAGGGCTGCCTCATCCCGAGCCAGCCCCGTGTCCCGGTGGTGGAGCTGCCCATCCTCAGGATCATCCCCATTGAAGCTCACAGACTGCGACTCCAGGCGAGTCTCCTTTTCCCTTCATTCTCCTGTTACACCTCCCCAGCCCCACCCTCTCTGCCCACCAGCTGCATTTCGTCAATCCCACTCCCATCTGAAGCACCTGCTTTCACACTTATCCTTACACAAACCATCCCTACACTTTGTTTCTTCTAAGGGGATTTCTGCATTTGTTGCCCCTTTTCCCTTCTGGGACAGGGATCTTGTGACACAACTCCCCCTACTCTTTCAATTACCTCCCATCCCCAGGAAATGACATACAGGACATGTACATTTTCTGGGTAGTGGCTATTTAAGACCTCTAACCAAAACAGTGAATTTCTGAGGGCAGTCCTGTGTCCTCGAGGCCCTTGCTGTTTGCAGTTCCAACTCGGTGTCTGCTGCCTCCTCTCGCAGAACACGCTCCGGACGCCGGTGTACACGACCTCCATGCGCCGCAACGCCATGGGCTTCGGCCTGGTCTTCGAGGCTGACCTGTACACTACCAAGCACATCTCCCACTGGGTCCTCCAAGGTGTGTGTCTCACCCTGAATGCTGAATGACAGTCACACATAGGCACCATGTTCTTCCCCCTGAATGAAAACCTTCAGAGGCGTGGGGAGAAAACCCTCCACCCAAACAGAGATCTGGTACCATATGTGGGGGTTGTGTTCACTTAGGCACACCTGACTTTAGTTAGAATTAGCTTGGTTGTATTATACTCCCAATAAATGTGTTTGAGAATAGGGTTTGTTTTGTAGATGGTGTTTCCTTTTGGAACGGCTCCAAGGCAGTCTGTGGCTGCAAAGAAAAATTAATTTGGTCTCACACACACAAAGACTACAGTTTGCCTGGGTGGTTGTAAGAAATGTCTTTAATTGCCCAAAGCATCACTTCTGCACTGCCTGGAAGCAGTGCCTCCCACCAGCCTCCAACAAGTGGCAGGGTAGGTCACTCATACAACACATGACCATAAGAATATGGTGCCAACAACCAAAGTCACCAAACCAGCCGCTGGTTCACACAATGCACGCAAAAACAGTACACCTCAGAGTAACAACCTTGCCTTAACCAACCCCTTTCTGACCCCTCCCCACCACTTGTGAAACACATTCCTACCACAGAGCCAGCAAGGCGCGAGGCTGAGGCGGGTCTGGGACTTGGGGACAGCGAGTGACAGAGGGCAGAGCCTTGCCCGGGGTGAGCCCTGCTGGAAGGGTCATGCTGCGGGAATCGAGCGGGACCGCAGGCGGGAGAACAGCTCTGCCAGGGCCTGGGCTCTGCAGGGAGACACACACCAACACAGCTGCAGAAAAAGCTTACAAGGGGCAAACTACAGCTGCCAAGGGGAGGGGACGGGGCAGGCAGGGATCCTTCGTCAGCTGTCACAGAGAATACACGTTCCAAATTTTTAAAGGCACATCATAAGCTTAGCAGCATTTGGGAGCCAGTGTTTCTTGCTGGTCCTACTTAGAGGCTGCAGACAAGAGTGAAGCAGAGGTGAACAGAATGTAAGAAAAATGGACAAACTAGTGCTCCTATCCCAAAACTACATACCCTCCCAGCTCCTAGTATGCCTTTCTTTCCTAGAAAAAAATCCAAAAAAAAAGGAATCAAGTAGTCTAACAGCTGTTGGGTCTACCTGCTACTTACTAGAAAGGAGTAGGGGAATCTGGTCAAGTGCAAGGCAAGTCCATCCCAATCCACAAGGACAGAAATCAAGGATGCCAGGTTCTCCTGTATGGATCAGTTACATCACTTACAACTAAATACTCACATTTTAGAAGGGCAGCTCAGGTTTCTAGGCTGGCAGCAGCCGGCACTGGTCTGATGATGCCCAGACCAGACTAAGGTTTTTAGGAAACAAAAATAATCCCTTTACAAAAAAAGTGCAGGTTAGCGCATAAAGAACCATTTCCATATTGGATAGCCAGTTACATTTCCTCCCTGAAAAGGAGCTCGGAGCCAGTATGGAAGGTGCTACAAGTGCAGTGTACTGACTAGCATAAAATGTGTTGTGAAGCTATTTGATTAAAAAAACCCAAAACGATCCCCACAAACAACCCAGTGTTCATACTCTTCCTATGAGAGTTATTAACCCTCATAAAATGATGCTTTCCCCACCCATATTTTACTTAAAGCCACAAACCAAAGTATTTAGGATTAATCAAGTAGTGCTTGCTGGGGCTCTGGGGACAGGACATCCTTAGGTCACTAAAGTGAACGTACACGTGCCCAACTTTCAGTGCTGCTGCAAGAGCGGCTGTGGCAGAGGTCAGTGATGGCTCTGGAGTGCTCACACACACAGTGGAGACAAGAGAACCCCTGCCAGGTCAAACATCACCAGCCAACACGCGTGGCTGCAGTGTGAGGGAGGGGTGTTCTCTCTAAGAGCGCTCGCTAACAGCCCGCGCCTTGGTCCACACGTGCAGTTACACTACATGGAGCAACACTTGGAAGCAAGCGGTCAGGTCCCCCTGGTTTGGCCACAGCATGGAGTGGTTGTATACCATATGCCATATGAACACAGTCCTAGGAGGTTTTGTTAGAGCAGAATGTATTAATGGTGTACCCGGGAGGAGTTTGGCATGCATGGGGCATCAAAAGAAACTTCAGCGCAGGTGCTATTTACCCTACAGGCTCACAGTGCATGACCAGCACAGAACAGCGCTGCTGTGGTGTTCTCAGACAGTTCTGTCTGTGCCCGGGTGCTTTCTGACCGCTTTGTTTCCATGAACCTGATCCACTGCCAGGGTCTCCACCTCCTGCGGCTGGGCGGGCGCGGCGTGGTGGATGCGATGAGCCACCCCGATGTGCGCCTTGTGCGGCTTCTCGCGGGCGGGGCTGTGCGACTCGCCGGGCGCGCGATCCGAAGGGATCGGCGGAATGACCAGCGGCCTCTCCTTGATCAGGTGCACCTCTGCCGTTTCCCTGGCCAGCAGGAAGGGCGTGGGATCGGGCATGGCATCCACGGGCTCTCGCAGCACCAGCTTCCGGCTCTCCGACCCTATTCTGTAGGCCTCCTCGAACTCGGGGTTCAGCGGCGTGGACAGGCTCTTCTTCATCCTGCGCCGCGGCGTCTCCGGCAGTTTGTCCTTGGGGGGGGACGGTTTGTAGCCGGACAGCACGGGGCTGCCAGAGGGCGTCCCGTCCGAAGTCCCGCTGGCACTCATCAGCTTCTTCTTGGCCGCGTGCAGCTGAGAGGTCAGATAGGCAATCGTGCTCGCTCTCTGCTCCAGTTCACTGGACAACATGTTGAGCTTATGGCTTTTCATTTTTAACTCTTCCAAATACTTCTTTTCCCTTTCTTTAATAGTGTTTTCCAGCACCATGATCATTGCATTCTTTTGTTCAAGTTCTTTCAACAATTCACTGTTTTCAGCTTCTTTGATTTTCAGCTGAGCTTCAAGATCTTTGCACTTACTTTTGAGTTCATCACTTCTTGAACCACCACTTTCTAGAGGAACAGGAGAAGCAGAAGTGTTTTAAATTAACAACAGCCATTATGTAAAACAGTACACTAGGGCTCCTCTTGTCATCCCTGAGAGGAATCCAAAAGGCTAATTTCATCCCTGATCCAGGGGGTTAACCTCAGGGAATTATCTTATTCCTGCTCTTTACCTGTTGTTAACATAATACATATAAAATAACTAGGATCTAGTGTGCACAAACACACACACATATATACATATATATATAAATAAAAGCTTTGTGATTAATTACAGCACCAGCTCAGCTAAGTTGTAAAAATAGTCTCACTCTTCTGGCCCTAAAATTTGTGTCCTGTGTACCCATATAGCAAGCAGGAATTGACTGTATAGTGGAGTCAGCAGTTCCAGGTGCTATTCCTGGCTCTTTCACAGATTTCCTGTGTAACCTTGGGAAAGAACTTTTGATATTTACTTCATAAATAAGTAAGTCTGGAGAGTAGAAAAGAAAATACAAGCATTGAAAAAAAAAATAGTAAATTGAACATGAACATTAAAAAAAAAAAAAAGGAATCCTTACCTGACAAGTCTGAACTCTTTACAGTCAGTTCATAGGTTAAATCTGAGGAAAAAAAGTTTTTATTTTAGTTAGAACATCATCATGGAGCTCATACATCACAGCTTTCAATAAATACAGAACTAACTCTTTCTACTACCCAAAGGAAGAATAGGAGATTCACTGCAAATTAGCAAATAGGTAAAACAACTGAACAATCAGCTTTTTTAAAGAACAAATGAAAAAACTTGGCTTTGATCAGCCAGTTTGCCACGAGACACAAACTGCAGACCCTAAATCCACCCTGCTGGTGGGCTTTGCTGCTGAGTCCCCGTGCTGAATGGGAAGCAGCCCCTCCAAGGAACGGGTACCTGTGCAGCGCTGCTGCAGGCGGCGCAGCTCCGCGTGCAGCCCCTTCAGGGTGTTGGCGTGCTCCCGCTGCAGGAACAGCAGGTTCTTCTGGGCACTCTGCAGCTGGTTCTCCAGGGTTGAGGTGGCCATCCTGACCCTGCCAGGGAACAGACATGGAATTGTGATGGTGAGTTACCTTGCACATATAGGGATCCTCCCTCCGCAGCCAGCATCAGTTTTTCTGCCACAAATGGTTTTTATGCTTTAGGACTATTTTGATTACAAAGTGCTCCAAGTTCATAAAAAACTTAATTATACTGTAGGCTGGAGCAGGGAACTTATTTGTTTGGAGTTAACACATTTAAAGGATTAACTTCAGACAGTCTAAGTCATTAATCCCGTTACAAGTTAAAAGCAGAGTTCTGAGGAATGGGCTACTGTGCCCATCTTGTTTCCACTTACCCCCAGGGACAGAGGGATTGGTAAAATCCTTGGCAAGAACAAGGCAGAAAGCAGCTCTAAGGAGAAAGGCAAAGCAGGGGTCTGAGCAAAGCCAGGCTGGTGGCACTGCCGTGGATGTCCAAACTGAAATGTGGGCACTGGGACCAGCACAAGGGAAGCTCTGGCTGCTCTTGGGTTTCCTCAGCACCAGGCCCAATGACACAGAGCAAGACAAGGATAATGCTTCGCTCAAAGAGAAAACAGACTTTTCTTGCTCAGTTACGAGTATGTGGAAACCTGTTACACCACTGGGTTTCCCCTCCAGCACAGCCTTATAAAAGTAAGCCTTGGCTACAGCACTGCTCACGCCCAAAGATAGGCACAGTTAGCAGAATGATGTTGACAGACATCCTTGAAGACCCCTGTGCTGCCAGCAGGAAAGGCTAAATTCTGTTGTATGTGTAGAAACCATTACAGTAATTAGGTTGCAAGGGTAAGTGAAGAGTCAGAACTCCTGTTGCCTGGACAAACACCTGCAGTGGCATTGCAACCATGCCTGGAATTATGGGACCACACATGGTGCCCAAGGGTTTGCCTTGCCATGGCAAGAGCTTTCCATTGGGACTCTTTGATATGAAGTCTTATGGCAAGAATTTTTTTCTACCAGTTTAAAATTGGTAGAGCATATGCTCAGAGCAAGTGACACACTTTTGTTATTCCTAAACATATCACAGGCCCGCGTTTAATTTTATACTTTTATTCCCCAAGGAACACCAGACTTGGTACTCCTGCATCTTGGTGACACATTAAAGCACCTGGGGATGTGGTGAAGAAATCACACACACAGAGCTCTCCTGATTTCATCAGTGACCTGAACTGACTTAGTCTTCCACTGACTTATCCTTACAGAAACAAATATTTGATTGTTAATAAAATGAATGTGTGAAAGATGTTAAGAAATCCACTTCTGTGCAGGAGCCAAACAGCCTGGTTACCTTGTAACAGAGATCAAGGATTAAGTTCAGTGCCCAGGAATGTGGGTAGCAGTGACAACTGTGCTTAGTCCAGTAAATGGGTAATTTTACAATTACCATCGTTAGCAAACAAGCAAAAATAATGGACCAAACATATTCTAAAAATAGATTTCTAGGGTGGTTAAACAAATTTTGCAACACCCCATCATTGCCACACTAGTGGTCCCTCACAAGAGTTGGAGGCCTGTTGGAAGGGGCACTACACAGTCACAGCAATTACTGTGGGGCACTGTTAATTCTGAGGAGTGAGGATATTTAAGCTGTGATACATTTTCAGAGTGACATCCTTTGGCTTGCAAAGCTGACATCAGACAGACAGGAGCTTTACTGAATCATCCCATTCCTTCAGTGTTCACCCTGCTCTGATCGACCGAGCATGACAGCAGGACAAAGCCACAGCTGGAGCTCTCACTGTGCAGGACACTGAGGCTCAGAAGGGATTCTTAATCGAGGAATGTATTTTCCAAAAGAAACCCTAAGCTGTCATAGAAGTAGGTGAAAGAAAAGCCTCCACACAATAGCCCAGAGCTTCTGTTCTTACAGTGGGTATTAATAGTGGCTTTACACCTGTAACCATAACCTGAACAGGAAAATACTTGCCTGAATAGGAAAATATTTCATCACCAGCAACAGACAGTAACTGTTCATAGCTCAATCCTTGCAAATACACATGTTAATTAAAAAAAACTCAGAACAAGGCTCTCCCTATTAATCTCCTCAATTGCTTTTTCACTTTGATCTTCTGCATCTGAAAGATCACACCAGGATTACCTGCTCTGAAAAAAACAACTATAATCAGAGGCAAGCGAGGGTTATAGGCTTAGGAAGAAAATAAGAACTACCAGCACCAGAGCAGCAGCATCTTCCCTGCAGCAGCAGTGAGTTAATCAGTGAAATCAATCAGATCAACCCACAATGAGTTTTAGCTGCAGCCCCTCTGCACTAAGGAGTGTCCTACAACCCTCTGCAGCCTGTCTGTGCTTCTCCCCTCACAGCAGCCTGGTCTGCTGTCCCCTCTCCTTCCCTTCAAGGGAAAGCGAAGCCAGGGAGGTGAAGCCACAGCCTCCATGGATGTGTGGGCAGCAGATCCAGTTCCAAACCCACTCACCCACCCACTCAAGCCGTTTTACATGGCACACTCAGCACTGAGGTCTGGCCCTGTGCTCTGGGAAACAGCCAAAACCATCCACTGTCAAACCAGGGAAAGTGGCTTGCACAGTCAGGCACTATACAGAGACATGGATTTGCTATGTCCCACTGTCCTGGGATTGCACTAAGCTGATTTAATCTCAGGCTCTCTGAAACAAGAAGGTCAAAAACCACAAGAGAAACAGCAAATGCAGAAGTCAACGGTGCCCTTTACAGCCCAGAAGAGCAATTTCCACCTCCCACCATGGAAATTGGTGGGACAAGCTCCCAAATCTACCAGGCTCTGGCTGGATGCTGGCAGATAGATGACACCAGTGCTGGGAAGAAAGCTGTGACTGCATACACAGCACAAAGTTATGTCACTATGGTTTCTCCCCCTTCCCCTTTGTCTCCAAACAACAAAATTTGCTATGTTTTTACACAGACAGAACTGTGCAATGCAGAGCTTGGCAAAGTCCCCTGGGAACGTGCACAGCATTTGGGAAGGATGACAGGACACAAAGGGACACTGCAGTCTGCGGGGATGATGGTGAGGGTGACACATCTCCTCTCTGGCAGCAGGACTGGCCCTGAACACCAAGTGTCCCACCTTCAGTGACAGAGGCATTGTGTGGATTGTGCAACGCGTTCCACCTTTCAAACATCCACAATTTTTCATTTCCCAGGACCACCACAACACCAAATGTTTCTATATATAGTTCAGATATTGAGCCTCAACTCCTCCAAATGATGGAGTCACAATTTCTCTTGAATATAGCCAAGAAGGAGCAAATGGAATGAGTCAAATAGAATTCCCTTGGGAATGTTAAGTACAACACTTTAATCATGACTGCATCTTCCAGTAAAGCAGAGAAGGTAACTTCAATTATCATTCCTGTAAGCTCACCTTAAAAAGGAACTGTTCTGCCTCCTTACAAGTGCATGTTCTCTTCAAAAGGGAACACACACACAAAATCTTATATGGAAAAGGAAAAAATATCAAAAAAGAGCTTTTAAAATGCAACTTAATCACACACTCACCATAAACAGTCACTAACATTTTAACAGCCACATCTTGCCTTGCAGAGGATGTGCAGACTCCAGGCCTTTTTGGATCTTAAGCATTTGGAGGGAGTTCAAAATGTTTCAGGCAATGAGCATCTGGCTGCGTATCAGAAGCCTTTGCACAAAATCAGAGCATCTCTACGCCCTGCTGCAAGATAGGAGGAGGGAGATGCTAATCTCTGACCTTAGACACAAGTCCAAATGATGGAACAAAGCCCAAACAGCAATGATTTAACATTTTCATTCCTTTTTGGTACCCACTCAATAGAACACAATAACATCCTTTTATGTGGATGGGGTGACCATCACTTGAGAAGCTGCTTTAGCTCCCTGCCAACTCACAGCCTTGAAATATGTATGGGCAGACATTTTCCTCTTGACTGCTCACTGGCCAGTGCTCCATCAAAATGTAACAAAAGCTGCCAAAATATCATTTGTTTGCTATACAAAATACTATTTCAAGAACTAAGTAAGGACAGTGGATACCTCTTGTAAGAACCTCCAAAGTTTTAGCCAGACCCCATTTTAAAGGTTGTCACTGAACTGACCAGACTTATCTAAACACAGCTGCAACGCTGGAATTACCAACAGCCACTTTGTTGCTCTTTGCTTAGATCAGCTCTCCATCTCTGAGACATGATGCCATCTCCAAAGTGTTTGCTCAGCTCCCTTCAAAGGACGTATCAAAGGAGACCCTGCAGCCTCCACAGCCAGTTCAAGGGCTTTGCTCTCCTGCTTAGACATTTCTTTTAAGACCCCCACAAACTGATTCCATCACACCACTACACCTCTCCTGAGGTAGATCCACCAGTAACACAACTCAGTGACAAACTGTTCCAGTTCCAAATTTCTGCTCGCCCCTCATTCATCCGTGCATCAGACTGAGTCAGTTCAACTACTCCAGTGCTGCTGAAGTCAAGCTTTTCAGACACCACACTCAGCCTACACATCCTCCTCGGGGATCCCTCCCCTTCTCCAGGCTCCCTTATCAGTGAGGAGTGCCTCTTGCAGCACCACCTCTATCCTCAGCCTGCATTACAATAGAACAATGCTTACACATCATTAGTGACCCACTAATTTGTTCTCATCTTCTTTTCGTTTGTGTGTTTTGAGCCAAGCAAAATTAGTAGTTCTTTCCCGCAGACAATGGAGGGGAAGAAGGAATCGTGCCACTGTCCACCCAGAGGAAGGACATGATTTTGCTTTCTCAGCTCTCTTTCCATTTCTACTGCTTTTGATGCTATTTTACCCAGTGGTTTCTCTGCTTGATTTCCCCATCATTTTGTGATCAGAGGCTGTGTAAACTCTCTACAGTTAACCTCTGCATGTTCTGCAAGCACACATTTCAGCATTTTAGTACCAAGATGATTTTTTGTTACTCCTACAGCAGCTGGTAGAATAATTGAGTGGACACCATCCTGGCAGCAATGATTTAATTCTGGATGCTCCAAAGGAACCAGCTGGTACTTTTACACAGACTGCCTGCCCAAGTGCCTCACTGTCTACCTGGAATCAGGAGCACTGACAGGAATAGTTCACACGGTGTTTCCTCTGTCCTTGAGACCACCCAACCCCAGAGCTGTCACAAGGGAAGAGACTAAAAGGAATCAGATGTTAAAGTCACTACTGTGACAGAGACTATTACAGAACCAAACCAAACGGTCCTGCAGTGGCTTTTCACACAGACACAGTTATTATGACCAATACCAGGGTGTGCAAAGCTATGGCTGACCAGCTGTCAGGAACAAATAGCTTACTCTGGCAGGAAGCTTAGAAAATTACCGAATTTGAGCCTAATTCACTTTACAAAGAAAGCATTACCTAAATGACACTGACTACTTCAAAAGAACCCCTCTAACAATGATGAAGTGACAACAAAAGCCCTCACAAGCAAGATCTCATGTAGAAGAACAGGCTCTCTAGCACACACTCCTAAAGCATGGCTCTTCTATTTTATTCAGCCTTTCATTCTGAGGATAAAACAAGTAGTTATTTCAATATAACCTCCAGCAAAGCCACAGAATACAAACTGCACCCCAATCACAACCAGGCAGTCACAATATTGCCAAGACATGTTAGTCTTTCTAGTAAACCAACTTCGTTTGTCACAAGAATGACAAGAAAATTAATATTCAATTCTCCCAGACTAACACAATATTAATGTTACACATAAACCTGAGACTCATTCTATTTTTTTCCAAAGTCATTAAGAAAGTTCTCCAGCTTCAGTTAAAGCTGAATCAGAACTTAGATTAGTAAGGTAAGCTGTGGGTGGTTTTGCTACAAGGATCTGTTAAGTATAACTCCAAAGTCATGCTTAGAAATAACATTATACTATGGAATAGCCATGGGCTTTTTTCACAGATCACATACTCACTTATGAACACTGCATGCCCTCTCTTAATTTATTGCCCTCTATGATAAAGAATGTGTGAATTGCACCAGAAATTGAAGAAAATGTATTTATGCAATATAAAAATTTGCCCTTTCTGTAGCCTGCTGAAACACAAACCAAAACAATTACTATGCTGCTTTCACATAACCAACTTGGCTGGGCCTTTTCCTGCTCCCAAACACGACAAAAATCCATCACCACACAGACACGGGACCATTTCACCACCCAGCCCAGCCATGACTTTGTCTCACCCATCCCACTCACATACACTGAGCAAGAATTTAGTGCTGCATTCCTGAAATGCTCCAGAATCACCTTCCTGATCATTCAGTGAACCAGGTCAGGGAACTGGTGCAGCTGAAAACAAACCCATTTTCCCACTGGCTGTTTTCAGGTGGTGGGTTCACTGTGCAGCACTGTAGATGCCTGGGGAAGGTGAAAAAAATAAAAATAAAAAATAGAATCTGTAAGCAGGTCAGGGGAGTGGTACAGGCAGAACTGCTTCGTGCAGCAGCGCCAGCTCCAGGCACTCGCCTGAGCTTGAGCTCCTACTGCATGAACTGCAGAAATCACAATTTTCAGAGGTTACCAGGAATATTTTTGAAACATGGCAGAAGGCACTGAAGCCTTACAGCAAGCTAAATCTGTCCTGAGAGATCATTTACAGAGTGCAGCTATTCTAAAGCAACGCTACAGAACTGCACAACTATTTCTAGGCAAGTGTAACAGGCTGGGGAGATGCTTCTCTCTAATGCATTCTGTGCTGCTGTTTCATAAGGCATTGATTTTTATTATTTTAGAACAGCAACTACCATCAAACGCACAAAAATTAGTCCCCACTTTGCTAAAGGTTTTGAGAGCTGCTGATGAAGGAAATCTGGTAGTGGTGATGACCTACGTCCAAGTCCTTCCTTAAGCAACATTTTTTTGGTGTTAAATAGGATCCCAAAGAGGGCTTTATACCCTCCCTTACATAACCCAGGTAGCTCAAATAAAGCTACACAGCTTAAACCAAGCTCTCCTGAGGCTGGAAAGGAAACAAGCAGGCACACGTGTATTACAGAGGGAACCTGCTGGTTCTGACATCATTCCCACGGCTTTTCCTCACAGATGGACTCTCCCCGAGCTTGACACCTCTGCTCCACAGAAAGGCGATCTGCCGTGCCTTTTGTGCCCTCCCTCCGGGCATGGACTCGGGTTACAGGGAGCTACTGTTCCCGGCATATTTACAGCCTTTCTGGAGACACCTTCCATTCTGTTCACAGAGAAGCCATGGCATTGAACAGTTTTCAGTCAGTCCAGCGCTGTTTTTAAATAACACTGATTTTAAACCCCATGTCTCTCAATCAAATAATTAAAACCAACAAGCAGCAATGTAATTTAATATTTTAAATACAAACCAGAGGTTTCCTTGGAGTAACATGAGAACAAACATGCTCTCCAATAGCAGGAAAAAAAATCACAATCCAAATAAAAGCCTTTTTTCAATGATTATTTAAAAGCACTCGAACAAACAGCTTGCAGAACTTCCAACACATTCTGAAAACGTCAGTTTCAGCAATATTTTGTCATGCCTCTAACGTCTAGTAGTAAATAAATTTATTGTTTCTATTTATAGTACCATAGTCTTTAACATCACCAAGAGAAATGAGCTGTTAGATAATGGCAAAATTAAACAAAATTATTCACTGTCACATGGAGATAGACCAACACCCTGCTGGACATCCTGGTTTAGAGGAAGATATATTTTACATCACTTAAAAATGAGCACAGGGACACTACAGCC